TGCAAATGAGATGACATTCATAAAATCCACTGCAATGGAACCATCTCAGATGATTTGTGTGCTCAGTGTTGTGTGTTTTTGTTGTACTACTTAGGTCAGGGGCATCAAATTTATATCCTCTCAGGCTGGAGCCAGCACTGAGTGTCCTGCATGCAACACAGGGGGTCAGTCTGGGGTGTGTGCTGTATGCAGCATCCTGCTGGACCAGTCCTGCATGCTGGTTCTGGGATGGGTCCTGATTGGACGTTGCTGAAGCCAAGATTCATGGTTGTTCTGGTAGGGCTTGCTGTGCCTGTGGCACATGGGATTGGCATGGAGTATTCACGCCCTACGGCTGGCGGGCTGGACCTGATGGCAGAGGGGTCCTGGGGCACAGGTTGTATGTAGTGCCCCAGACTGACCCCCAGACTGTTACCTTCAATGCTGGGTCCAGCCCATGCAGTGAAGGCCACACATGTCTGGTGCTGGCCTTACATATTGTGTGCACAGAAAGCTCTGGGGCCTGCATGTGCAGAGTGCAACATAGAGGCTTGACCTGGTGCTGTGGCTGCTGCACAGAGAGTTGGTCTCTGGCCAATAGACAGGCCCAGCAATCATTATTCATGGAGCCAGATTGGGTCCTGGTCCCAGCATGAATCAGTCGAGGGTACCTCTGATATCTTTTATTAGACTAACTGACTAGTTGGAGAAATATATCTTAGCAAAAAACCCTTTGTCAGGTCGAGGAAGCATCTGCAGTTGGTGTTGTGTTTGCTTTTCTTGGATGGAATGAATAGTGAAGAAGCCAGAGGCTGCTATGCATGCAAGAAAGACAGTCAGTGAAAGTGTAAATTGAGGTGTCAGGGGGTGAGGGACGTCAGACAGGTTATAGTGTGTCATAAATCCAGTGTCCATATGGAGTCCATGAGTTTCTGAATCTAGGAGGTTGATGAAGTGAAGTTCATATGCTCGTCTGTGAAAAGTGGTTTTTAAATTTAAACAAGCACTGAACATCGCTAACCTCATCACCAGAAGAAAGCTTCCTACAGCCCAAAACACACTGAATGGATCCAGACCATACCATGACAAGAAATGCAAAACTTGCCAACATATCTCCAGTATCCCCACAAAACTACACCCCACAGCAGAACCATTATCACTCCTGGATCTTACAGCTGCAGCTCCAGAATTTATATATTTCATCCAAAGCACCAAATGCCCTGATGGAAAATACGTAGGGTACATCAAACAACAACTGCGCACCAGAATGAATGAACAACAGAAATCTATTACAGACAAGAATACCCAACTACCTGTCACAGCATATTTCTTACAAGAAAGCCACTCTGTCTCTAAGGCGTGATCCTCAAAGGGAATTTACAAACAACTTTTCATAGATGAGCCTATGAACTTCACTTTATCAACCTCCTAGATACAGAAACTCACAGACTCAATATGGACATTGGATTTATGACACACTATAACCTGCCTGATAGCTGACTCCCCAGGTACCTCTCCACTTTTACCTGCCCCCCCTACCCCCCCGCCCCCGCAGTCTGTCCCTCACCACCTGACACCTCAATTTACATTTTCACTGACTGGCTTTCTTGCATGCATAGCAGCCTCTGGCTTCTTCACTATTTATTCCATCCAGGAAAAGCACACACAACACTGAGCTGAAATGCTTCCTCAGCCTGATGAAGGATTTTTTGCTAAGATATATTTCTCAAAATATTCAGTTGGTCAAACAAAAGATATCAGAGGTACCCTCAGCTGATTCATGCTGGGGCTGGGACCCAATCTGGCCCCACGGATGATGACTGCTGGGCCTGTCTGTCGGCCATACAGAGACCAACTCTCTGTGCAGCACCCACAGCCCCAGCTCTGAGAGTGGGGCATTAAATGGTTTAAAAAATAATAATAAAAGGAAATAGGTGTGGACAGAGTGAGGAGGGTGGCACATACTCCATCTGCACATGGAGCTTGGGGAAGCCCAGCAGCACGAGATTCACCTTGAGGAACACCAGCTGCTCCACCAAACCAGGATCCAAGGAGGTGTGGTGGGGTGTCACAACGTCCCCAGAAATGCTGAACACCCTCTCCCTTGGAACACTGGATGGTGGACAGGATAGGGGTTCCTGGGCAACTGTGGCCAGATCCTGCCATATCTGGCTGTGGCTTGCCCAGTAGACCAAGGGGTCACAGAGCAGCGGCTCCACATCTTCAGTGAGATAGGTAGCCACCGAGGCCTTGATGCTACCTGCCTGATGCTGGGATCTGGTGCCTCTGGACCCCAACATGGAAGCCATGCCCTTGGCCCACATTGGCAGCATGTGTGGTGGAGCAGACCGGCTGGTGGATGGAGTGATGGCACGGGACAATGGTTCTCCCTCTTCCACATTCCACCGCCTCTGCCCTTCTGTCTCCTTGGCTGTTCACCAGCACCTCCATCCAGTGACCCAGTGTTTTGCTGGTGCACACACTCCCCTTCACCCTCGGTTCGCACATGGCCTCCAGCACATGGACCATACTGGGCCGCAATGGATCCAGTCATTTCTTGATGCCCTCCTTCAGCCACTTCACCAGTGCCTGCACCTCTGCTGAAAGCAGCTTGCCCAATCCAGGAACATTGATCCCCTGGAATTTCTCCGTTTAGTACTGACACTCCCTCACTATGGGGATCACCTGGCTAA